GCATTATCCAGATCAGCACATGGAAGCTGGAACTCAAAAAATCGTTTTCCATTAGTCACTGTCAGTCAGTGGATATTTGAGAAGCTCAGAAGTGGTGTTTCATCTTTGACTTGCAAAAATTCCACCAAATAATTGATATGCACTGATAAACTTCATAATGTTTTATTTGCAGCATTCAACTGAAGGTTCTGTGTGTGTATATGCCCACATCACTCATGACAAATGAATGGCATTCATACCTTTATTCTTGCTGCTATTCTTTCATTTATGTCAGGGGATCTGTCACTTGTAATCCAGTTGCAAGCAGTGGGAAAATTCCCCAATTCCCCTACAACTCCTTCTTTCAGCCTTAAGAGACTACGTCTGAGATTTTGCAATGTATAGGTAAAGCTTCGTGATATCTCCTTTAACAATAGGCTGAGAATTTGGAAGAGGAAGATAGACACTAAGTGCTGAATTGTTGTCCCCCAAAATTTCCTGAGGGTGGTGGTAACAAAATGGCTAGGGTAAAAAGCTGGCGGGGTGGGGAGGGCATGGCGGTATGAGACTGAAAAGGGTCAGCAGCATGGATCTTTGTGGAGAAAAAGCAGTGCAGGAAGAAATGGAGGATATTGTAGAAAAGTAGAGATGGAGCATAAAAGGGGTCCTGAAGAAGAAAAGGAAAGAAACTGGCAAATGTAAACAATAAATAGAATAGTGTATCAGATAATTCCAAGGTGTGTGAGTCAGCTTTCCTGAATTAGTCCCCTATCTGCCTTTCACCAAGTGATCTTGAAAAAGATGCATTCCCTTTTAGTGCTTCAGCTTCCTTATCAGCAAAACAAGAATATAAAATATACAACTCACAGAGAGCTAGAAGACTTTTAATTCTTGATACAGAAGTAATGACACTAATCTACTGCTATTAGAGAATGAAAAATTACTTTTTTTTTTTACTATTGGGTATGCAAATGTCTAGTAAGCATAACTGAGAAAACTTCCACTGTGCGTGCTACTGTACAAAACCACAGAAATAAAAAAATTCTGACATAGAAAGGTACAGATATGAAAAATTATGAGAAAAACAATGGTAGACAGCAACTTCACAAAAAACAAATCTTAAAATTGTAGACCACATATAAGCATGTGTGCTATAGTAGTTTCTTTGTGTGTGAGCATGGAGAACTGTGGTACAAACAGAAGTAGGGTGGAATTAACATTGTTCTTCTCAATTTTAGAACTGTCGTTCAGCAAGAAAACAGATACTGGGATTTTGAGAAACATAGACTGAGAGACCACAGAAATCAGGGCCAATGAAAAATCTGAGCTTTTTATCCAAAAACAGCCAGTGTGAGATAAGTACCTTTCATTAAAATAACAAATGCTTTTTCTTTTACTCCAAACAGGAAGGAAGATGGGCTTCTGAAACTTGAAAATGGTCAATAGTGACAAAAGCAGCTAAGAGAAAGGAAGAGATGTTCGTAACAAAGAAAAACTCCACAATTTGAGAAACACCAAAACACATATCAGGAGTGGAAACCACAAGCCTAGCAGCAGATATGTCTTAGAATTTACTTTCACATTTCTTTCCTTCTAATTCTTGAATAATAGTGAGGTTTTCTTTGTTGTTCCAATGAAATGGCCCACCAGACCCACCAGGTATATAACAGACTTGTACAACTACTTCCTTTCCATGCTCACACTAGATAAGTAGATCTTAAGAGGAGAGAGCATTGAAAATTTCCTCTGCTTTCCAGCTTCTAAAAGGAGCTGTAATGTCATGTTTCTCAGACCATGAGGAGGCATACAATGATCTGGAGGACCTAATAAACCTCTGGAGACAACATTCTCCTTTTTCATCAAAGCTATTTCACAGGGATGTTTGACTCACAAGGTTAACAGCATTTTCAACATATATCCCTTGTGCTGTCCAAGATTTTAACTTCAGCAGGTTTTAACCTAGTAGTTAGTAGTTTATTTGTCTGATTCCCATTTAGTTTCTCCTTCAAAAAGGCTCTTCTTTTGTTTTAGCACCACACAGCTTTGGTCAGGTTCCAAAGGTTTTTTAAGAAATAATTCAATGGACTGCTATATAGATAATTTATGCAGAAATTACTGTCAGTCTCATGGGCAGCTACTGAGCCTCACTGTGATTGGAACTAATAACTATTACCAAGATATGATAATTTCATTTAGCATTAGGAAACCATCTGGTGCCTTCATTTCTTGTTGTAACATAATGCCACTGTTTTACTCAATCCACTCTCATTAAAACAAGAAAAAGCAGCTAAGGAAAAACATACACACAAATGATAAATTTATCGTCTCAATCATCTTTGTGCAACCTGCCTCAGAAGTCATACTCTCATAGATTTTTGCAGTAGGAGGGGACTACTAAAATCTAATCTGAGCTCTTGTGTAATGAAGGCTATCTATTTCATTGAGTAGCCTCTAAATCAAAAGCATAATGTGTTTGGGCTATGCTGTATCTATTTTCCTCACAATGGGTGTATGTGATGGATGAATCCAGCCCACTCCTAGATAAGCTGTACCAGTGGTTAATTTCTCTCACTCTTAAAAACATGCACCTTATTTCTAGTCTGAATTTGCTGAACTTCAGCTTTGAAACATTGGATCTTATTATGCGTTTTTCTGCTAGATTAAACAGTCATCTGCTGTCAAAAGTCTCATTCCCATTAAGGCACTTACAGACCATGATCAAGTCACCTCTTAACCTTCTCTTCAGCAGATTAAACAGACCGATCTTTAGCCTCTAACTGCAATGCTTATTTCCAGACCTGCACTCATTCTTTCACCTTTAATGAACTCTTTCCAATTTTAAACATATTTTCAAAGTGTGGCCACCAGAACAGGACACAATAGTTCATTAATAGTTTCCCTAATGCCATATAAAAATGCAGTGTTATTTCCTACTTGATATTCACTTGTCTATATATCAGAAAATATAATATATACCATTTAAAACCCTCCTTTAGCTTACTGATAAAACAGAAAGTATTCTGAAAGGAATTTAAAATGTGAATATTTATCCTGTTTTTTTACACACAATGCAGAAAATGTATGCAACTCTTCTGTCTTTTCTATACTATCTATACTTTTCTATACTATCTACATCCACTGTCGTTTCTGTCCCTTAAGATATTTTTCTGATATTTTTTTGTCTTCCTTCATCAGTTTCCTGTTCTTAAGTGCTTTTGATATTATTATTTAGTAGTAGTATCTATGAGCTGTTCAACTCTAGTAGTACCTTTTAAGGCAATTCCACTTATAGTCTTATTTTAAAATATTTTCTTGCATTTTCATTTTCTTCATGTAAGGAAATTATATTCCTGAAGCAATTTGCTTATACAAAATAGAAGAAAAGGGAGCAGTATATTAATATGCAGAGTGGAAAAACATTCAGAGAGAGAGAAATAGTCTCTGCACGCTTAAAAAACACACAGATTATGCACATACAAAGAAGTAAAAAGAGTGAATAAGAGAGAAAATTAAGGGTGGGGAGAGGGAAAACTGAAAGTTAAGAAAATGCAGGGAAAAGTGCTTCTGGCATCCAGAAGTAAAGACACTGCTAATTTAAACTTGCTTCCTAATATTTTAGAGTTCACAATCTGAATCTGAATTAGAACAAGTTCAAAGTTTTATGCCAGACAAAAATGAAATTAAAGCCCTGTAGTGTTTTCTGGTAACTCAATAAACACCTTGTGTCATCTCTTTATGTCCTGAGACTTAAATCATTTTGACTCTTTTAAAAACCTGTCTTTAAATTTTCAATGTTGTTTCTTTTAACCACTTCACATATTTCCTGACATCAAGAGACCTCTAATTGATTAGTTACTTCTATTAACTTAATCAGCTCCTTTTCCAACAAGTATTCTGGGGAAAATACTCAGAACCTCCCCAATGCATGCTGTAAGTTAAGCAGCCTAAAATATTCTGAGATACTGAAGTTGAATTGATTTTTATTTCCAAGCAGAAGGTGAAAGTCCTATAATTCTGTTTAAAAATTAAAACTATGTGTACACTTCAATTGGCTCTAAGGTCATAACATTAAATAGTGGCTATGTAGCCTTGATATCTAAACAAATTTGAATTACTCTCTGAATCTGGTAAGAGGAACTGAGCACACATTCTTCAATTTCTGCACCGGTTTACAAGTTACCTTGGACCTCATTTTGTCTAATTTCAGATGCCAATGTAACAATCACCACAAAGCTTTAGGTGACAGCATAATAACTCATAAAACCAGAACATACTAGCTGAAAGTCTTCAAAATGTACCAAAGATCAGATATTGTTAAATGCCTCTCCCATTGGAAGATCTGAGACACCTCTGGGCTATCAAACACAAGGAGTTATAGAAGAAACCATCCTCTCTCCCTTCATGCATACTTCTCACTAATATAAGCCCACTTAAATGCTTGATGAAGCTAGGAAAGAAAGATTCCTCTCTAATCCAGCAGCATATTTCACCATATTTCAAATTGAATGATCTTAGTAACAGGTTAAAAGGAATAGAAAACCTGGAAAAATCTAAGCTTTTTATATGGAGCCCAAATTTTATTCAAAAGTTTCTCAAAAATACGAAGTCCAAAAGGTTTTTCTCAGTCGAGCCACTAATATCTTTAGTGTAGTCCAGTTGGTTGAACAAAGACTATGATTAAGTATAATGTTATTGAACTGATACTGTAACTCCTAATCCAATAAAACTCACTCTAGTACACAGCTATAGGAGATCCATCTGAGCAAAGTGTTCAGGTTTCTTCACCTATTCCACTGCTATAAATTCAATTCTTTAAGCAAAAATCATCAAAGAAATTTCCTTTTATTTCCCATGAGAGATTTTGCATTTGCTTCCTTTGCTATCTTGCAAATCCTCAAAAAAGTGATTTTCACTTGCTTTTGACAGCAGTGGGAATCATATCCGTTGCTCCTCAGCAAGGTGCACAAACTTTCCCCCACAATCAGGATATAGGATCTTTTCAAACAGAATATAAAGCTTACCTTGAAGAAAGTCATAGTTGCTCCATCTTCAACTGCCCCGTACTCTATCTTTGTCTGTTTGGCCAAATCATCAGCAGAATCAATAGGGGATTCCATACGTTCCACTGTCAGAAAGGCGGCTAGGTTAGCAGTGTACGAGGAAATGATGATAAGTGTGAAAAACCACCAAATGCCTCCCACTATCCTGGTGGAGAGGGCTTTGGGCATGAGCTCAGAACCTAACGAAAACCAGGGGAGAAAGGTGAAACCAATGCACACAAAACAATCAATAAGTGTTCAGCACTTTTTGCCACAGTGGGGAGATGGAATCACTGTGCAAAAAAATCTTTAAGCTACAGGCTTACATGTACTGCTTGTACAAACACATACAACTGAAATGAAAAATAAGAACTGATTACACTTATAAAGACAGATCTTTTTGGAGCTGTGGGAATCAAAACATAGTAATGGGAGACTCAATGATCAGTGCCTTTTTAAAAGTTATAAATATATATGTATATATAGCAATGTGAAAAAAGCAGTTACTTGAACTGGGTTTCCAGAAAAAATCCTAGCTGGACTGAATCTCCAAGTTAATACTAATATTGAAGCACTTATACAGTACTTTATCTTCAAGGCACTAAATAAACATTATTTAAGTATTTTATAAAAACTCACTGGAGTAAATAAAAATAAGCTACTGATGAAAGAGGCAGATAGGAAATAAAGTATTTCATATCTGAAATACAAAATCTGAAATCTATTATAAATATGCTTTTGACTTTTGCCATTTGTAATGCTGTAAAGGGTTGCTTATTGACTGCTTAGATAAAAAAATTAACATCTCCCATCTCTATAGTTAGCCCCACAATTTCAGATAAACATGGGTGGCTATGCCACACACTTAATTTAATAGAGCAGCAGTGAAAATATTAGACCGCTATGCATAAACTAGATAAAGATAGACTATAATGCATTGCTGGAGTTGCCTGCTCATGGCACTAAAGAATGGAGGGGACGACAGACACTGTATAGTAATTTGCATAATTATTAATGCTAATTTAGAGTCTAATGAGACAAATTGAAGCACATAAACTCCTCTTGTGTCTAATTACTAAAAATAGGAAAAAATAAAATTCAATGTAATTTACAGCCACAAATATTTATTACAAATGAGCATGTATGGATTTTTTTTCCATAACGTTATAATTGAATGGATGACATTTCTAATGATGTTAAATAAACAATTTCAAGCTTCATTGTAAGAACTTTATGTAAAATCTTTTAGAAGTATCCAGAAACTTCCTTTCAAAGAAAGAGTTTTACCATATCCACTATACCTTTGTACCAAAACAATCACTTTTTGTTAATTGGTCACTATGCTTGTTTGTAAATCTCCTGGGTAAAATGGAATGAAGGCAAGATGGACTATTTTATTACTGTTAAATTTTAGTGTTCATATTGAATTATTTAAGGAACTGGTCCAGCAAGGTAACACATCTTCATATAAATGAAAGATTATGCCAAACTTCCAACGTCAATGCCAAAAAAAAAAGAACAGAAAGGGGAAAAAAAAACCAAAAAGGAAGAAAACCAAAGAAAAGGAAAAAAGAAGTGGTATCATAACTGGACTATCGTATTCAAAAACAGCCCATCTTACCCTGCAGTTCATCTTACCCTTGCTGTTTCAAACAAAAAAAGCTGACAGACTTGGACATGACAGCCAACTCCAGCGCCAGACTCTGCCTAGAATTCTGCAAGGAAAAAAGTAGAAAAGTACCTTTCTGATGTAGTTGCTCCTAGGCCCTGTTAGTCAGACACTTAGACACCATAACACTAACAGATTTCCCAATAAGCCCACCACCATCAACTCTTTTTAATTGCTCTCATTTCATTTAAATGCAACAAAAGTAAAGTCAGACAGGACTGGGAAGAAAAGAAGAGTGGAAACATTTGCTGCAGTTGCCCCAGTTACCACAAGTTCATACCTTACCAAGGACTGAAACCGAGTGCCGCCTAGGCCCATGAAACAGAGCCTGGTTAGGGGCTGACTGTCATGTACCCAAGGTAACGTCATGTCCAGCACTATATCCCACAGTTTCCTGGGAGTGAAAGGTGTCAGCAAGACATGTATGAGTTCCCTCTATCATGTATCCTCCAGCACTAAGCAAATGTTTTGTAAAGAAGCAGCACTTAATAAGGTAATGTGAGTATGGCCCAAGCGCTATTATATTGTTTCTAATTGAAAGTTATTGCCATTAGGTGAGAACTTTCATGCTTGTGCAAAAGCCTACTTTTAGATGACTTTAGGCTCTTGAATTTTTTTTTTTAAAAGCAATTCTCAAAATCAAGACTGATACTTCATCATTAGAATGGTGCCTTTGAAAGTTTATTAAAAGATGCATTGAGTCAAAGGCAAAACAATATAAGGCAAGGACAGAAGGTCAGCCTTAATTCTGAAAAACTAGTTTTTCTTCATGGAAAACTATTATCCTCCAAAATGTCTTTTAAAACTAATGTCTTTTTTTTTCCTATTTTGATTGTCAAGATATGTTTAGATGCTAGGGACTAAAATACCTTCTTCTTGCAAAAAGATGATGCAAAAACCTAAATTGCTTTTTTCCCTCCTCCAGAAATATGGAGAAGCATACAGCTATGTAAGAAATAAAACTCAGCATTCATAGTGATTCTGAAAATCCTGAGAACTGTGAACAGAATTCAAAATACCTTGTTTTATTCAGTATCCATTTTTTGGTAGCTCCTTTGAAAGCAACCATTATCTTACAAACATGTATTTAGGAGTTGTGCTTGGACTATATAATTTCTTGAAACGTGTATTCATAATGTAGTTGATACTAAACACTTACCAAAATATAGCTGTATTTTTATTTCTGATTTAGAATCTTGATTCCTTTTTACTCATTAATTCATGTTTTTCTGAGTATAGTACACTTTTCACTGAGAGCTTAGAGATTTTTTAAGTCTACAGACCTGATACATGACAGAACATTTATTACAGTTACAGCAGAGCTTAATGAATTTATTTGATGACTTAAAAACAGGATTTATTTATAGTTGGTGTACTTATAACTTTAAAAACGATTGCTCAGGTATATCCATCAAGTAACTATACCAACATGCACTAGCTCCTGCCAACATTTTCTATGAATTTTTTGTAATATGCATTGGTTATTTTTCCAGAAAGAAGAGTCATGCCTTTTGGTGGTTCTTCAACAGAACTAATAGTCTTTCTTATTATGCTGTACTGCCCAATGAAATGTCAGAACAAAAAGCTGAATCTGTGTTATTCAAATATGCCTGAAATTATGTGACTCTGTTCAAATCCTTATGGAAAAGCATAATAAAATGGTGATATATTTTTATGGATATGTATCTTTGGTATACTTTAAAAACAAAAGGAAAATTATAGATTTTAAAGAATGTATCTTACCTTACGGATTTTACTAAGACAGTGCTAGTTAGAATTGGTTGTTGGTCATACTCTGAGCAATATGACTATACATCTGCCATTTTTATTGTCAGCAATGACATCAGTTGTTCAGTGGATGCATTGTATATTATAGACTATTTATTCAAATCTCTAAGAATGGTCATTCCAAATTTAAAAAACATAAAATGTGGCTGGAAAGAGTTAAATCTCCCATATTTAACATTTTATTTGACAGGTACTAACTACTAGATAAAATGTGTCTGTTATTGAAAGATTTCTAGATCAAAATTAAACAAATGAGAGACATTTACATTACAGTCTTGCCTGACAAAGATATACTATTTTTTAGGTTGTTTAAATGAAGGTTTGTTAGGTAATGGACAGATGAGCTCTTTTACTGATGCAGTAATGTACCTGATTCTGTTTAGGACAGAAATGACATAGTTATGCTGTACTTTTGAGTTTTAAAAATTTTATCTGTCTTCAGACTTATTCCTAAGGTGGAATTTGAGAATGCCTGGATATATAAACATAAAAAAGCTGGTTTATGGTTACATGGACAGAGGCACCCATGCAAGTGACTTGCACCAGAGAGCTGTTACCCCCAGCAAAAAGTGGGATATGGTGCCCAAGAGAAAGAGCAGACTGAATCGTATACCTTGCTGCATGAGAGCTCCAACTCCAAACCAGAAACTATTTAGCAAGGTAAAATTGTTTTCCACCACGTCAGAGTCAGGGTTGCAAGGGTGTGGATTATACCACTCATAGGGACTAAACCTGTGGTAATTGATAGAAAAAAGAACAGATTTAAAATGCGGCCAGCAGAAAGTCTATCCAGCAAATCTGCTGCAAAAGAAAAAGAAAAACAAGAAAGGTTATAAAGAAAATAGTGATTGGAAGTTTTTACAGTATGACTGCATTATATTTAACAGCAATATTAAAAGATAAAACAATGCTGAAGATTCACATTCTTAACTATTGCTGATAATAATAAAGTAGTATATAGATTGGCTCTGAAAGGTTCTGAGTGCCACCTGTAAACATCAAAGCATTTATTTTTCTATTAGCATCAATGGAATTGCGGGCACTTGGTACCATTTAGGATTAGGTCCTTATAACCATTGTGTCAGTATTTTGCATCTTGAAAGAAAATATAATATGCATTAAATCACAGTAATTAACCAGGAAAAAATATACATTAAGACAAAAGGTTTTTCTCAGCAAAATTACAAATAATTAATGTAACAAAATAAATAGTTGGGGGTAAAAGTGACATCATTAATCAACACACAAGGGGACTAAACTCTATAATTCACAGGAAAAAATATTATAGCAAATTAAAAGAATTGCATCCTGTCCTGTGAGGTGCACAGTAGCATCCCTGGAAAGGCTTTCCAAAAGAAGCAGGGGACACTCACAAGCACCTTGCAGGGTCAGGCTCTAAGAAAAGAAAAAAAAAAAAAGAAAAAGAAAAAGAAAAAGAAAAGAAAAAAGAAAAAGAAAAAGAAAAAGAAAAAGAAAAAGAAAACCCTTGCAGGGGCAGGCCCTAAAAAAAAAAAAAAAAAAAAAGAAAAAAAAAAAAAAAAAAAAAAGAAAAAGAAAAAGAAAAAGAAAAAGAAAAAGAAAAAGAAAAAGACAGTGAAATCAATCATCTCAAAAATAGGTAGATCAAAGAAGTAGAACAATGCCTAACTGAGTCTGGCAATAGATTACAAGCAGATTATATATAATGAATTTTAACTCATGACTTTGACATTGCTGTGCATTATAATGGGTTCATATCTAAATATTATTTTATCAAATACAGCTAAAACAAGCAAACATGTCTAGGTAAATTATTCTTTGTTACAATTCCATTCAGAAACAAAGATTTGCAATGCTTTCTCTTCCTCATTATACCTTTGTACAGCTTTAAAATTCAATTCCAATGCGCAAGATTATTTTAATCAATTAAGAGATTTAATCACCATGCCTGGCCTTGGAGACACACTGTTGATAGGGACTTTTATTTTATGCTTAAATTTTGCCTTTAGATCTTTGATATTGAATATGAGTTAATGCATGCGCATAACATATTTGAGCAAAAAACTGAAAATCACTGCAACACAGTAGAATGTAACCAGCACAATAATTAATAATATTACAGAGTTTAATTACTAAATCAATATTAATATATTTTCCTAATTTCTCAAATCATTAAAGCCACTCTGTTAGAAATCCTGGGATAGGCATCCCTTATGAAAGAATGTTTTTTAATCTATCATATAATCAAAGCTATCTGAATAATGCATCTGTCACTTCAGAAAATGCAATTTTCTTCACAATAATATTTCAAACACATTAAAATTCAGAAAATCAAATGTTCCACTTTTATGCTCTTAATGTAATGTTAAAACACCTCTCATCTTAAAAGTCTGTACTTGACAAAGAAACATTTCATTTGGTTCTGCAATGTAATACTGACGTGCTGTTCAAAAAAGTTGACTGGGTTCTAATTAAATATTGTGACTTGAATTCTTCTATTACTTTGCAATAAAACTAGATCACAAGTTTACCATCTCATTGAAAAAGGTAAGCATTTTTCACATCATTTTGTCGTGAAACCAACAAAACTTGGAAACCAAGCACTCAGTGAAACTGAAGCAGATTTTTATATTCTTTTCCTGAGACATATTTGAAGACAAAATTGGAAAATATCTTGTTCTTGTGAGGACAATGTTTTCCAGGTAAAGCAAACATATTTTAGAGATTTAAAATAAATATTAATCTGCAAATGTTATTTTTAGTGGCTGCAATTTTACTGAACAGTCTAAAACATAAATTGATAACTTTACCTTTTTGTTCTGATATCTTATCTTGTTTAATTATTTTGATATTGTTGTGAAGAGCAGAAAAATGGTCCATATTTAAAATGAAAGGAAGAAACATCCTGACACAGAAGCTGGCTTTAGGAAAAAGAAACACTGCAATCTGAGTCCCAGACTCAGTCTGGGACCAAGTAATATCCCATAGTTTTAGAATTCTCTATTTTTTATTCTTCATTCCACAACATAGGATATAAAATGTCTGTTTTTTTTACAGATACTTAGGAGTGTTTAAAAATGCATGAGAAAAAAAAGTAAGGAAAATAAAATTGGCCTATTATGGATAAATGTTATCCCACCTTATTTTAATGTCTGTTATTAGATTGTCTGATGTAAGAGTCTTATACTACAGATCCTTTAATTAATTTTTTTATAAGTACTGCATATGTGTACAGGTTTTATACTGTTTAACCTATCGCAATAAATATTTGCAAGTCATAGAGTTATAGAATAAATTCAGGTTCACTCAGGAGGACATATCATCAAGCATCCTGCTCAGGGTAATATCAACCACTAATTCAGAACAGGAGGTTGTCCAGTCAGGTCTCAAAAACCTCCAAAGATAAAAATTCCACAACTTCTCTGGGCAATATGTTTCCATTTTTAATTATTCTAATAATGTTTTTTTTCTTTATGTCATACTGGAACCACCCTTGTTTCAAAGTATAAAGCACTATGCAGCTTTGGAAAGAGCCCAACTCCATCTTTTTTGATCAGTTCCTCTTATTAGAAAGTGCCTAGTAGGAAAACTCCTCCTGCCTGATGCTGAAAAAAGCCTAGTTCCTCCAACGTCTCTTCACAAGTCTTGTGCTCCAGAACACAAGCATTTTGGCGACCCTTGCTCAAGTTTATTCAAGTATTGGGGGGCCTAGAACTGCTCACAGTATTTAAATGTGGTCTAATAAATGCTATTATGGGAATAATCACTTTCCTTGATGAACCGACTGCACTCCTACTAATGTAAACGCAGAACGCTCTAGTTCAATCAAGAAGACAATCGTAAAACAAAAAGGAAATTTCAGTACCCAAATGAGCTGATGCAAATTGGAAGACTGATCTCCCTGATAGCTGATAACAGGTATTCTTCCCATTTACCCATCTCTGTTAGTGTTTATTCTAACGTTTCAGATACAGTCTCTTTACTTATTCTCTAACACCTTCAGGTGTTTGAAATACTTGAAAAAAGAGACTTTAAATAAGCTTTACAAAACCTGTGCTCTGCTTTTCCTCTTTGCTGCTAGCCACTGAAAAGTTAGAATTACTTTTCCAAAACTACTGGCTAGTACAAGTAATGTTTAGAAGTCAGCAATATTAGCAGTCCACAGGAAAGGGAAGATTTGTGTCAAATATGATTCTACCTTAGGGACATTCCATGATATTAGAAATTAAAATTAGAATTCCCAATGAGCAGACAGAAGACCTATTTCAGAATTGCACCATTTCATTTGCAAATTATTTGAGACAGACTATAATTTATTTAAGCTATGTATTCATATAGTGTTTCAAATAATGGAGCCTTGATCTTACAGGCCTGCTAAGTAAAAGTAATAGTGAATACTTAAAAAACAACAACAGGTTTTTGGAAAAAACCTGCTCAGATAATTCCCTAATGAGATACTGAATTTTTCAGCGCAGCCTCTGAGTGTATGGGAAGAACAGAAATGATCATAAACAATGTCTGATGAGAGGGACTACCATATTATCTTTGGCATACCTACATAGTTAGAGTCATGAATGAACAGTGTAAATGAAAACAGACTATACTTCATACTATGCTATCTGGTTGTGGAACTTCTTAATGCTCTTTATGTGCAATGCACATAAAAGAGACCAGCTTTAGCAAAGCTGCTTTTCTGTATCCTATGGAAGACGGTATGCCAGGACAGAAAGTGGAAAATATCTCATGATTCTAGGCTTTGAGATCCTAGAAAGTTCAGTTCAGTACAAAACTCTGCGAGTCCTCTAAGGTAAGATCTATACTGACAGCATCAACTAAGAGGTCCCTTCTCAGGCATAAACTTTCCAGTAGTCTACACTGAGAATGCCTGCTTTTAGACTCAATAGCAGTCCATCTTGAGTCTGTTTGGCTTAAGGAGATGGTATGGTATCAACTGGACTCTAATGCTAGCATCTCAGCCTTCCTTTTTATTTAGGAGCTTGGTTTTGCACTTTCTGGGCACAGGAAGTCTTCTTGCCATGACGATACAAGATTCTGTTCCTTAATGCTTGACCTGCAAGCACCTACTCCTCCTCTCCAATGTCCATAGTTTGAGACAAACTTAGGAAGAGACACATGACTAATACTGGATAAACTAGAGCAGTTTCTACAGTTTTGGTCAATAAACAAAGACACAGTCTTATAGAGAGCCACAAGACTCGGTCTAGATTACTTTAAACGTGATTGTAGATACAGGGTTCTGTGCTCTCAAACTATACTCAGTGCAGTACATTCTGTCACACACTGACTGCTTTCATAAAAGATGTGGTTTAGCACATTCTATACAAATCGACGCAATTTAAAGCTGCTGAGAATGTATGTATAAAAGTGTACCCTCCACCAGTTTAAGTAGTTCTCAACTCAAAGACCCATCAGTTTCTCTCTGATAGTATTTTGTTTTAAAAGCAAATTAATAGACATGCTTAATACAGACTTTAATATCTGGAGTTAAAGACTTTTTAATTTAAGCTCTATTTTCTGTAAACTTATTTAAAAGAGAAGAAAACACAAAAACTGCAATTTAGAGGGAAGAGAAAATGGATTAGGGAGGTAATATTTGCAATTGGTTCTTCACTATACCAACACACGGCTGTCTAGGAGTATTACACAGAACTGAATTTATACCAGTTGGGAACATACATTTAGTCCTTATGGGATAAAGACTGATTGGCCCCATTACTAATATTTACACACCA